GTAGGTGGAGTCTGCCAATCATCTCGAAACACACAGACAAAGATTGTGAGAGAAACCGTTATGACCGAAATTTTAAGTGATCCGTGGTATCACACCCAGCTGACTGGAATCGGTCAGATCAGCATCTGCACTCAGTAGGGAGGATAGGAAACAGTGAATTAAGCATGCGTAGCTTATGATGAAGGTACATCAGCTAATAAAGGCACGTTTATCTCCCTACCTGGGGGTAAACCGGAACTGAATTCAGTCATCAAAACGACAGGCACTCCTTCTTCGGTGAACGTATTTCTCAGAGGTTTAACAATGTGTGGTGGCATTGGTCTGAATGGCGCACTAATGTACTGGCTGGTGGTCATTTCAGAGGCAACTGGTACCCCCACTGGTCTCGTTAGGTAGAGGGATTTCTCCGATCTTACTCGGACCTCTTCCGTGAGCCGTTGGAAGTCGTCCACAGCATTCCGGAACTGCGATACGGTGGGCTCGATACGTCGCTTGGCCTCCGTAGCTAAAAGTTAAGTTGTAGCATGGTAGTTAGGACCTCAAAATCAAATAGTAGCAATCTTAAAGTTGAAAGTCAACTGCGTCACCAGAAAGCCGCCTACCGGCGCCCACTGGACAAATCTATGTTGTAACCCCCCAGAAGGTACCTAAAACCGTTGGTTGGTAAAATGTGTAGTTGACTATTTCGTATACACTTACCTTGGGGATGTTGAGCGGCTAATTGTTCCAGTGTTGGGATATGCATATCTGCTAGAGCCTGAGTTCTAATATATTGCTCCTCAATTTCAGAACGCATGGTTTGTAATGATACCCGGTCTTCTTGTGGCACTTTTCGAAGACGATCTTTCGCCGCAGTTAGACTGAACGTAAGCTGCGATACTGCGTTGTCCGCCACTGCGATAGCACGCAGCAAACGCAGAGTTAAGCTGACTTCAACCCGGCATCGAGAGGTGTCGGTCATTAGTCGATCGAAACGAGTTAGGAGTTGTTGTTGACGGTCGGTAAGATCAATCGGCAATTCACTCGTACCAAGTTCATCTGGTTCGCCATGGAACAGTTGCATACGAATTGCTGGTGCAGTCGAACGGACACGAGTCTGCAAAACCTGTCAACGATAAAATCATAGTGAATAATACCATCCATGTAAGTTTGCCGACGTAGAACACATATGGTTTAAACCACGACAACGGTTACTAACCGGAATAGTTGCTTCTAGTTGGTTTAGCTCAAGCTCGGCCCGCTCCACTTGCTCGATCGGTGCGTCCAGAGAGACGGCCATTGATATAGTCCTGAGCTCACCTTCTGCCATGGCTATTTCACCTTCAACCTCCTGAAGCAAGTAAAAAACATCAAAAGGGTTGTGGCTACTAATGGTTAACAAGAGGCTACCAAGTCATTTTGATTCGGGGACGTATGGAGCCATTTTTGACAGTAGTAGCGTTTACCAAAAATTTGGACGACACATTTCTTTAAACCAGTCCCTGGTAATTTAACGGCATAACTAAAAATGGGGATCAAAATGAGTAACAACCAGAAGCATGTAGTTTGCTTTTCGTCGTGCCTAACCGAGTGAACGGAACCTGTACAGAGGACCTCACTGCGTTAAGTATTGTTATCTGGGTAGTCCCATTGGCCGCGAATTAAATAATATTCATGCTGATTCATTCAAATCGTTTGCTAAAACGGATGGCCAAGACTTTAGCAATTGTTAAAATTCACCCGAGACCTTCATATTAGGCCATATGTCCATAAAATGCTACGATGGTTAGTTTCAATGTCTGTGCCCTTTCGCATTGCTTACTACTGTTTTACATTCACGCTGCCAAACGGTAGAACCCTTTGATTTGCTACAACTTGAGTAGATTTAGGTAGCATTACAGGGGCTCACCTCTATGGTTGCCAGTCTGCCAACTTGTTCACCGCGTCTCTCCAATTGGAATCGCCTGGTAGACCATGCTCTATCCCAGGCAGACCATCTGGTCTCTAGTCCAGCCAGCTGCATTACCAGTTCACTGCGTACACGTTTACCAAGAGATGAAGCCGGTAATCCATCCTCTGGTCCTGTCGGTACTTCGATCAACCTCCAACCACGACCTTCATCCATTGCATCGCCCAGCCTGGCTCCGATCAGGCTTCCCAGCTGATGTACTTTTGCCCGGACTGACGAAGTGAGACTGTCGATACGCTCTCGCTCTTGCTGGTGGTTTCGCATGTCTATGTCGCACTCGGACGGTTTAGAGGGCAGCGACGCGCGCGACATTTGCGACAGGGACGTAACCAGCATTTCGTCCAGCTGTTAAAAAATGCACAGGGAAACTCGTTTATGCACGTGACTGCTTGAACGAAGACAGATATATGTTGTCTTCAAATAGTACATACACCAGTTCTGGAATACGAATTCATTCACAAGAACTTAAGCGCGCATTTCCGTACACATAACAAAAGTTTCGTATAAAGCCGTTTCCCCCAAAGTTACCTGGCGTGCTTCCTGACTAAATCGGAGCCAGTATTCTCGTGCCATTTTCCACTGTTCCCAGAAGCGTTCACAATTAACCCAGCTTTCACGTAGTCGCTCCAGTTGACGAGCATTTAACTGAGTTTGTTGCTGACAGAATCGGATGGGTTCTGCGGCATTGAAGTCACGGTCTGCTCTTTGGGTGACCTGGTTTTCAAAGTGAATTGCATAGAGAAGAGTTAATGGACTGTTGTACATCCAGATCAGCTCACAATCCTAATAAAATCGGTGGACCAGTTTGTATCTTTTTCAAAAATATACTAAATAACAACAAACCTGATCAATGTAGTCTCTGAGGAGTGTCTGCTGGTCCTCAATTCTAGAGATGACTAGAGTAACCTCTGTGCGGAGCGTGTCCGGGCCTTCGACATCTATGGGTCCTACAGTGAGCCGTTCCTTGGCAAATTCACTGAGAGTCGTTGGGCTCATTGCATAGAGCTGGTGCATTCGTTCGGATATCAAATTTTGTTGATGCTCATCATCACGCACGCGACGGAGGACACTTAAGAACTTTCCGGCCAATCCGAGGCGTAGGTGAATGGTTTGACGGCAGCAGTTCCACCGGGTGGATAATTCGTTCCAGCGGAGCTGTGTGACAAATGCAAAAGATAAGCAAAGGAGATGAAAATTAGAGGCCTTTTGCATAATTTATATGCAGTTAGAAAGCGTTCATTTTTAGTCACAGATTTCTGGTGCTGCTCCATCGTCACAAGACAGGACCCTAACGTGGTGCGATGGTTTGCGTACTTCCGTGACCCACTCAGCTGCGCTTGGCAACAATTTATAATTGCCTTCAGAACCATTCATACCAGACAGATCAATGTTTATGTGTTAGACTGACCCAGTTTCTTTAAAGCCTAGCTACGAGAGCCAACAATTTTGTGTTTTATAAGATCACAACCTAATTGGTGTAGAGCACGATCACCAGGCATGGTGTATGACGGTAAGAGGGCACTACACGTTGCTCAATGGTCTGGTGCCGCTAGCCTCAAGCCAGGTACCCCCTAGTCAAATTGGCGCAAACCCGCCAACTTCCACCTGCGGCTAGCCGTAATGGCGAATATAATAAGATTAAAAAACCTACGTGAATCATTCTACATCTTCAAAGGCCCCATATGCACGACTTCAAGCAGATCACAATCGGACACTAATCACGCTTCCGAGCTGGACTTACTCCCAGCTGTCTTGGAAGTGAGGTAATTGAATGAAACGCACCGGACGAAGTCCGTCAACCCAAGTTCCGTGTACCCCACTACCTTGCGGGTCAGACTGTTGAGTTAAAGGCTAGAGATAGAGCAGCTCGAAAAACTCCCCTCACGGAATGGGTAATCGCAGTGTATCATCTACCTTCTCGACCCGTCGACAATACTTCCTTTTCTTCTTCTTGATTGTCTTCTCTTCTCAGCTTTTTTTCCTCATCTGTTAGGCATGAGGTTGTTACTGGTCTCGCAGCTGTTGCTATCGATCCATGTTAGTTGTCCCTCAAACCGCACTCAGACCCGCAGCAAGTCCGAATTTTCATCCAATATCTTGACCGCGGGCGATCCACAGACCAGACCACGAAACTCCGTCTATCAAACCGTCGTGTGCTTGCAACATGGACAAACGTCCGCATTTATCAACACGCCAAATGAACGCCTAGAAAGGAAGCCTCGCAGTCACACGAGATCGACATGTACCAAATGAACTTGCGCTCAACTTTGATCGTAGTTCGTAGACGTGTTTCGACGTTGTTGTGTCCTATTTACTTTTCAGAACATTCATCTAACGAGTCAGCCTCATCATCAACCTGATGGTCAAAGTTTGCGACTAGTCTTCTCCGATAGATCATGCAGTACGCGACATTCACAGTAACGTAACACAGCTGGCGATCAAAATGACACACACTGCCTGCCCACGGGAAGCTAAGCCGAAAGCTTCGGAGTTGAAATGTAATTGTGGCGTACAAGGATGTATTTATTAGGAGAATAGCTATTAGACGTTCATTTCTTGTGAACAAGCTTAATAGCAACTCTTTATTCTTCCTATTTTCTACTTCTTGACTGTTGTTTAAACGCTCTACTGGGTTAGCCCGAGTGGTCCACACACGTCATTGTTAATGGACGCTCATCGTCGTGTCCTTTTCAGCAGTGCCATTTGTAAGAACACATTCCATTGTTTTTTCTCCTTATCACTGTTATACTTGGTTATGTTAAAGGAATGTTTGGTTACCATACGATTATTGTACTAGTGTTTAATTGTTGGGTCTACATTTCTTATTCTCATTTGTTTCGTGACATTTGTTTAAACGCTACATTTCGCCCGTCACTGTCAATGAATGTTCGCTTTACGCTTGGATTCCCATGATGCCAGTTTTAAGGACATATGCGATTCGCTCTTGAGTACACGGTCGCTTATTCGGCTGTTGCGTTTGAGGTTTTTCCCTCTGTTGGTTGGCTCAAGTGTAATTTAGTAGCTTCCCTTCATTTTGCCTTCAAAACTATGTAAGCAACTGTGATTTCATGTATACAAGTCTCTTTCTGCCTCGTCTTTGGACTTCTTCTTGCGGTCGTGAGGCGAAGGCGTCAGTGGCGATACAACAGTATTAAGTACCTACAAAGTTAAATGATTAGCTCTAACTGTTTAAAAATATTCAGCAGTAATTACGCTTGCGTACCTCTAAGAGAAGTAAGGAAACCAAATTATATGATCTACCCCTTTTGGTTCAGCACAAAGGGAGGCGTCGCCTGTAAATCGGCCGCCGTCGAATATCATGCCTATCTTAGCTATGTAGATAGTTCAGTTTTGCAAGCGTAGTCTAACAGATCCTTTGTTCAGATAATATCCAACCGTCTTACTTTATCCGCATTTTGAATACAAAGTAGGAGATACTGTGCACAACTCCTGATTTATTGCTTTTGGACAAGGAATTTAATGTCAACTGAAGCCGTTTATAAAGAAACGTTTTCTTAATACTCTGCCCTATTGACTGGATTCAAATCCCGAAGGTGATGTTCAGCTGGTGATCGCAGTGTTCACTGAGCTTGTCAGCTTTGCTATAACTGTTTCATCACCACCGGAGGTAGCATCGTCAGTGCGTTAGTATGTAGCGGAGCGGTGCGGTGCAGCGCGATGCGAAGCGTCAGTGAATGTACGTGATCGATCGTCTAGACGGACGAGCTGTCAGTCTGAGTTTAGATTGCCCGATCTAAGCTTAGAGTTCCAAAACATGTACAGATGGCTGAATACAGTAAACCACAGTACATAAGTGGGCAGAGTTAGTTAATCTGCTCATGGACTGGTAGCTTAGTGTATGAGTTGTAGCAATTCGTTATTTCGTTTGTTTCACCATATGAATTCGAAATTCTAGTTTGTAAGACAAGCATATCAGAGAGCTCCAAAAAATCATTTGAGAAGCGGACTACCAGTGAGTCGGTAAAATAGGGTAACTAAATTTAAGCGAATACCAGAGGAGGAAAGCCTTGGAGTAACGATCTTCATTTTTTCCCTTCACTGATAACAATTGCAGCCGGCATTGCTTCAAAGACGAGGCCATCTTCTTCGAGTCCATACTGGTTACAGGTTTGTGATGGAACAGAAATGCAAGAACGGCTATGACGTCTCCCAAGTCGCTACCATCGAAAATCCAAAAAGTGTTTCTTGTTTAAAAGTGATTAATGGTGCTTCGCTATGTTTGATCAGCACGGGGCTGTTCGCGCAGATCCAATGTTGATCCATGCCAGGATTAATGGATACTAATCACATTCGGTATTTCAATAGAACAGGTTGAAATACTCACAAGTTGATCATACACAGTGTAACCGCACATTGCCAGAATAAAGTATCGGCGAGAACGGATCAACGGTGAAGAAGCTAGATCGAAACCTGAGTGCTGGAGAAATATGCCACAAATACGCCTGATCTATTGCTTGAAGAGCAATGGGTAGAATTAACGACTGAAATAAGGTGGCGTTTTTGAATGGATTGTGCGGAACAATACTTAGATTTTGAAGTCATGCTAAATGATTGCACATTAATACTGGAATATTTTATATGCTGCTATGATGGGGGCATCTAGGCAAAATGTTTTGTTTACCTCTAGGGAAGCCTTTTCGGAGGATGGCGACACGCGATCTATTTCAGCTTTGATATCATGCAACTCCGCTTCACGTGAGTTCAACTCATGCTCCAACCTTCTGTGGAAGTCTTCGAAGTCCGCCACCTGTGTTGTTGTCGTTCCCATGCTAGCATGCTCCATTAAAATTCGTTCGATGCGTTGGCTGAGCCATTCAAATAGCTAAAAATAAATGAATAATTATATTTCTCGGAAAGCTGGATAAGCTGTCAGTTAGAAGCGATCACACGTGGAGAAGCAGCATTTACTTTCTTACATATCTCAAAACAGCACAATACTGATGGAACTTATTGATGGCTCAAAGTTCACTGCTGATCTGGGTGAATCAGTACTTTTAGCAAGTAGCACAAATCCTACCCATATATAGATTGCTTCACTCAGCCACCGAAGTTTTTCTCCAAAGTAGGGTCCAAATTCATCTACACCGAATTTCAGTGATAAAATCTCGTTGGTAGCAACCGCATATTACCAGAAACCTTACGTTTGCATTCCGAGTATTTTAAAGATTTACTTAGTTTTAATCTGAGGCTGTTGGACGATGTGACATTCGCGCAGACCATGGACCCATCGAATTTATTGACCATACATGTTGAATCCCGGGTCGAGCGCATCGTAGACTCGAACTGAGCTTGAACCATGAAATGCCATCTTTCTGCTATATGCCAGCGTTACTTGAGACTAGCACCAAGACTCCTGACAGTTGGCCCAACAGCTTGGCGGCCGCACTTTAACTCGGCTCCCGCTACGACCTCTGTGGCCATTCTCCCCATACAATATTGTGCGTGCGCTCGTTCGAACCAGTTCGACGACCTCTACTCAGCGCTTCCCAACGCTTGGATCTAACCTAATCTTGGATCTAATCTAATCTTGCTCCAGTTCCTAGTTTCCAGCATATTCTTCGCCGAATTGCACTTGGGTAACTACATCAAACCGTTATTTTTCGGAAAAGATTTTGGTCTCATTCGGAAGAAGAAGCTGAGGGCTCCCAAACTACGCGGCAACCATCCCTGCAAGTTGCAGCATAACCAAGTTACAGCTTTTTTGCTCCGCTCATCAACTGAACAGCTCTAGGAACGCTTATCACCGCTGCACCTGCATCGTCACTTAAGGCAGGTCCACTAACCCACGCTGCCGCTTGGTGTGGGTGTGTGTGTACCACTGCGAGTCGATTGATCGCTGAACACGGCAGTCTGCGCGTTACGGCCTCCATCTGCCTCCACCGCCTGACCTTGGTGCGGTTGAACAACTCTCAATTTGTGTGCTTGTTCTGACCTATTCGTACGTCACTTCTTTCGCGAAGAACACGCATCAAGGTGAGTGCTTAGATAGGCCTTGCTGTAAACAATAAGAGGACGACTAGTATTCCAATGGTTCCACATCGCCTACGTTGCACAGACAATTGCAGTAAAGTCCTTAAGACCAGTACTACCTGTTCTAGCTTCATTAGATCGTACTGTCCGCAATGTGTAGGCAAATCCGTCCAAGAAGTGAGACAGACAAACCAAGTTGCTGACACAATTTGGTTTTGCCCAACATGTCAAGTCATTCCAGTGGTCAACTGTTTAGCTTTGCTCTTGAAAAAGTGCGATAGGATGACT